GGACACATTTCGAAGCCATTGTGGTGTTGGATTTGGAATCTTTGGTTTCGCTTATTAATTTATATAAATCTTTTAACGTGGGATAAGTTATATTTAAGTTACATTAGTAATGTTGTCTTCTGAAAATGTTCTTTCTTAGAATAGTGGTAATATTAATGTGGAGTTCTCGAGAGGTTTGAGTTAAATGTCGCGAACCAACACCGAATTACTCTTTCAGTTAGGATCAAACCACAGACGAATTCCCAGAGCAGTTATCGCATCATAACGTAATTTAACGTAGAATGAACGCGAATATTATCGCAAAAACAAATATTAAGTGACCCTCTTTTTCGGGTCAAGTGACTATTGTTTCAACTTAAGGTCAGGTCTGTAGACCTCTGATGGGATATATCGTCTTCCCGCTTTGCAAATTTCCGTGGCGACCATGAAACATCGCGTGTGGCAATCGCTTTGATGCTTTTCCGCACAGCCACAGTTTTCATTGAAACTTCTACTTGTGACGATCGCTTAGCCCAACCCCTAGGCCTATACGTCACTGTATAGGTATATGACAAAAACGAAGATGGAGTGAGAAAGTTCTTCCGTTTTACCTTGCAACCGCTTGCTGAAGTGAGCGTATTTTGACGTGATATATTTTCATTTCCAATAGGATGACAAGTTGTATAAGCAAATTAAGCAAACTATCTGGACGGGGAAATATTATAAAAATTAAGGTTTTTTTATAAAGTTAATTACGTCCTTATGGATTGCGCAACACTGACACTTTCACCTGGCAAAGTATATGATGTATATGCTGTCAGAGTGTAATTTACAATAAGATTTGAAAAGAAAGATTCTCGTAATCTTCAGATAATATCTGTCTCTGGTAACAAAAAATGATTGATTTATAACATGAAATTATATGTTCCTTATATGGCACGTGATAAGGATTAGCCTCGAGCAAATTGGGTATTGTGTCAAATAATCCGCTATTATCATGCCTTTTATACTTTCTAATGATGTGTCGATATCTTCACAATTCTCTTAGGTGAAACAGAAATAGGTTGTAAAAATTAAGACCTCGAGTTTGTCCAGAGTATGAATTGATTTTACTAAAATTTTACATTTCACTCTAAATGCAAAGTCTGGATGATTTGTTGTTGCAATTAGTGCAAAAATTCAAATTTTTGTATTTATGTTGTTCAAGTATCAAATACCATTTTTATAACGAATTCTTTCAAAGAATCCCTTACAGGTATCAACTGGCTACAAGATAAAAAAAAAAACGACCATGTTTTCGAGATGGGTTTCGCACTCTCACGAGATTGTTATATTAAATCTATTTCCATTTGTGTTTCGGACTAAGACTAGCAAAATTAGGATTTTTGTCGTTGACATGATAAATTTCATATGTTTCATTTCCTGCATATGTGCTAAAAATATATACATTTATTGTCGTTTTATTTCCTTAAACATCTTCTTTTTCAGGTTTAATATGAATGAATCGTGGCCCATTGAAGATCTGTCGTTAATGTGAACGCTATGTGAAGCTCTCTCGTGCCTTTTACGTTATAAAATATTACCGTATTTGAACTATTTACCAGCACTAATGTTCAAGCTGGTGAAGAAATCAGATTTGTAAAGTCTTTTCTATACCTAGAATTGGATTACTTATATAGGCTGAAACAATTGATTTTATCTCAATCATTGTTAGTTAAAAGAGTGGTTTTGATTCTGGAACATCGTACGAGACACGACAATTTGCCCAACATAAAGCTAGTTAAATGGCTAGGCTGTAAGAGGTGTATGGCGATCTAGATTAACCTCAGGCGGATTTTAAAAATTCTAAATGTCAGTGTGTATGTGTAAACATGCCGTGTTTAACCTTGTGAATTTTTAAATGTTGTTTGAAATTGTTGGTGATTTTTCTTTTTTACCCCCTTTTCAATGAGGTCAACTCGATTGTGTTTTTCTAATGGTACAGTGAAGTCCAACCAGACAACCAACATGGTTTAGACTAATGATACATGTATTAAATGAACGTGATGTATATCAATTGGTGAAGGATTTACTCCTGAAGGAGTCTCATTAGATTAATAACCATGTGATCCAAATGAACATAGCAGGTACTTTTTTTAATTATTTGAATTATTTGAATTTTCTTTCTTTTATTTTTGTTCTGAAAGCATTTATAATGTCAAAGTTAGGCTGTATGATACAACACCATCATGATATGTGTATAGCGTGAAACTCTGAGTAACAACAGTCATGTGTTTTTAGGTTGTTTTATTTTTCTATATTCAACGGATACAAATTGGAGAATCATTTCTGTCAGAAGTTTTGTTACTCATACACAGCCAACATCAATAAGAATTATGGTCCTAAATAAGTTAGACTCCACTGATGATATCAGTTAATTGATTTTTCACATCTTACTATTTATATGACAGAAGCTATTGATTATTTCAATAATACAATCCTTAGTGGGATTCAAAATAGATTTTCTAGTAAATTCTGGTCTATATGTGTATAGGAAGTTATGTTAAATTCTTGTTTTTCTGAAACATCTCTTGCCAAAGTCATGCAGGATGAAATTTACCCGATTAACATACTTTTGAATCCCTTGAAAACAGGGGGTTTCAACGTGAGGGTATTTTTATTTATTTGAGGGGGGGGGGGGGGGAATATTTGGATAATAATTATTAAAGTCGTTCATATTCAGTCTAGCTATATTCTCCGATATGAAAAATATTGCAGAGAAAACAACCTGAAATCACGAAATAGTACATATTTAAAGATCACGATCAGGGCTCTTGAAAGGGGTAATGGAATGGGAAGAAGACATCTAAAATGTCACTTAATTCCCAACTGTAAATGCTATGGTTAACGATAATGCAATTGAAAGCTATTATAATGAGCTCATTTGGTAGATATATACTCTCGAGAGTTTATGTTGTTACAATTCATAATTGGTTATTTAATGCATTGTGAGCACACCATTAATAACTGCTATCTGTTGACATTTTCCTTTCGGAATGATAAAGATATTGATGTGTGAACACTACTTTTGAAAGAAATACACAGCTCAAATAATTCACTAAAGCTTATATCATTTATAATTGTGCCAATTGCCAGTCTGACGTCTGATATGGGGTATAATGAAATGAAAACTAACCCATATTTCATAGGTTTTATCTTTATATTTTATATATATTATCTGTTATGCAAATGTGAACAACTTGAGCCGTTTTAGATAATATTAACTAATATGTTAGCCAAGGAGATTTGCTATTTGCTTCACTAAAAAACTGATATATGATGATTGATAGCGAAAACCCATCTTCGTAAAATGTTTTCTTGAGGAATGAGAATTGTTTTATGTCAATTATAGTAGTCTTACCCCTTGAAATATTTCAATTATCTTATTTATTATCGTGTGACTGATTAGTCCTGTATTGAGTATGCGTTTAAGGTCAGGGCAACACAATCATTAACGTACTATGTTATCGAACTATTTAGGTTTGATTTGAGAAATCTTCATCTTCACAATGTCTTCTTAAAGGGATTGTAAGGAGGTTTCCAGTGTCCCAGATACGCATACAAAACCTCTTAACAATTCCTTTATGGCACTTTTCTTGAATCAGAAACGCATTTGATTGGATTGTGCTCTAACGGATATAGCCAATCAGGGTCCCCGACAGCAACTATATTAACATTATGCATATTGTTTACATACTTGAAGGTTGAGGGCACTGATTGGTTGTATTCGATAGCGTACAATCCAACCAAATCATTGCATTTTCAAACTTCAGTGATACTAGCAAAATGCCTAATGATGTCAGTTCGAAATAACATGACATTGTGAAGATGGGAACGTATCTATTCCTTTATAAATGCCAAATTCTTCTATTTGCAGAGAATGGACACGTGAAAATAAGACCATGATTTTATTTATTCTGTGTCATAAATACAAACTCGATCAGTGCACAGCGCCGTAACATTTGAAAAAAAATGACAATGTTGTTGACAGATGTGGGTTATTAATAGTCAAATACATATTTATTTAATTGTGATGTTCAGCAACACGATGTTATTTACACTCGTTTCGAGTCTACTGTGAACCTGTCGTGCTTGTATCGAGAGAGTGGGGAAAAGAGGTTCATTGGAAAATGATTGGTCGTGTTGATAATTGACAAAGTACCAGACAATATATTATTTTAACACTCGTTTTAATTGTGATACTCGCCCTGATTGCTTGGCCATAGTTTAGCTATATGTAACTTGTGATCGTTTTTTTTTTTGTGATATTCTAGTCGACACATTTTTCCGTTTTTTCACACATTGAAAGGAGAACATTCAGAATTGTATATGATCCTCTAATATTGTGATCTTCAAATCGTGGAATTACTGTGAATCAGTTGGTGTGAGAATTGTGATTAGTATATATTATAACCTTACATATGAAGTCATTTTAAATACTCGGAATCACCCCGCTTCCCTGTTTGCGAGAAATCAAAGACAGAAGCATCTACATCATAGTATAAAATTTCATTCTTACCAGTAGAGACATTTTATTGCATTTCGCCCATGGAACTTACTTTTTAGCTTCTTACATTAGTTAACGTCACTAAAAGTTTTAACCAGTACCAAGGTGGTTGTCTCTTGAAGCGCGTTAACAGATTAATGTATTTGTACCATTGGTCTCGTGTACGCGTTGGAATATATTTCACCGCTTAAAATACGAGCTTTTAATCGATAAAGGAAGGATATGCAACTAAATATATATATTTTAATTCGGATTTTATATCATAAATCGTGACTTCGTTTTTAGTGTGTAATCAGTGTTCGTTTGTTTGACTAGATTTTAACGTTCTATTTTTTCTATTTGGAAGCTAATGGATACAATGGGTTTATTCCGCTCAAGTTCGTCTAAAAGATTGCTATTTACGTGTATTGCGTTATGTGTTTTGATGTACATGCTATTCCTTGCCTACCCTTGTGAGAGTGGTCCAAAACTCTACATGGTCCCAAAAGAACGGACGAGATATGTCTATGATTCGGACCAAAGAGCTATTCCGTATGATGAATTTATGCCTTTAATATTTATTGGAGGAGTTCCTCGAAGTGGAACAACCTTGATGCGAGCACTACTTGATGCTCACCCGGAGATCCGTTGTGGAGAGGAAACTCGTATTATTCCTAGAATCCTCGGTATGAGGACGCAATGGGAACGTTCTGCGACGGAGAAAAAGAGACTTGCAGAAGCGGGAATCACCAGTGACATAATGGATTCTGCGGTTCAAAGTTTTATCTTGGAAATAATTGCCAAACATGGAACAGCCGCGAAGCATTTGTGTAACAAAGACCCCTTTACTTTAAAATCCACTATATATCTGCATCACATATTTCCTAATGCCAAATTCCTATTTATGATCAGAGATGGTCGAGCTGTAGTGAACTCCGTTATTAGTCGGAAAGTCACAATATCAGGTTTTGACCTTAAAAACCCCAAGAAATGCCTACAGAGATGGAACCAGGCAGTTGACACAATGTATTCCCAGTGTATACGAGTGGGGTCCAGTGTATGTATGCCCGTGTATTATGAACAAATGGTGCTTCATCCAGAAATATGGATGCACAGAATATTGAAATTTTTACATATACCCTGGAACGAATCAGTGCTACATCATGAAGACTTTGTAGGCAAACCTGGTGGAATTTCTTTATCCAAAACTGAAAAGTCCACAGATCAAGTAATCAAACCTGTTAATGTGCAAGCTTTATCAAAGTGGGTAGGACAATTTCCAGAAGACCTCGTAAAGGACATGGCTAATATAGCGCCAATGTTACGTGTGTTGGGATATGATCCAAATGCTAATCCTCCGGATTATGGAACCCCAGATCCACAAGTTAAAGAAAATACATTGCATATAAAAGCGAATTCCAACTTTTGGAAAGCGCGTGAAAAAGACATCTTCGATCAAAATCCTATAAACCAAGCCAAAGCCAAGCCTAAACAGAATATTCAAAAGAATGGTGATATTGTAAGTTGAAGACTAACACAGTAATATTTTGTTTTAGTCAATGGTATGTGAAAATATTTTAAATTTACCATAAAGTGGGCTTGTTTCTTCTTATGAGTGTTATGTTGAGGGAATTATGGTATTTCTATGTGCTAATTCCTGTATGCGCCTTTTAACAAACTTGGATGGTTGACTGCTAAAGTTCATATTGCCTCCGTTTCTTATATAACGAACTGGTAGATGTAGATGGTTAAAGAGATTTACAGAGGCTTGCTGAAGAATTAAGATCTCCATCTCAACAATTTTTGTGGCGATCACCTAGAATGTTAATAGAATTCAATTTTAAGGGCACCAGTTCAATTTCAGTATTCAAAATTCAAATCAACCCCCGAAAATAGCGAATCTGTCCCTTTAAGGGATTGTACAACAAAGACCTTGCCAGATGATTTCTGTATTTTTTAGTTGATAAATATTAGTAGTGTGAATCATTTGAAACCGGACAGTGACAGATGCTTTGCAACTTATAAAAGTTCATTTTTTACAGTTTTGCGTCTCATCCTTCCTTTTTCGTCTGTCTCTTGTTCGTCCACCAGTTTGCATTTCCTCATTAAGTTGACAACAATTGCATACATAGTTATCTCCCTTCTTACTAAATATTAAAGCTACTGCAGCTCCTAAAGTTTTCAATTACTAAAATTTTCATACAACTTAGCTAATAGCCAGCAACGTTCATTGCTTGTTTGCAACTCAATTTTCTTGTCTTGTCAATTTTTGATTTGTACTAATGTGGCTATATTTAATATTAATTTTTTGTATGTTAAAGTTTGTTGCCATATACTCATGTAGAAGATCAGTCGTTTCAGAACGCATAAAGCCAAAGTCTTCCCACGAAAACGTGTATCCAATGCCTCATATCTAACTGTTTTAAGTACCGGTACAATTGCGATATGAATTTTAGCATGTTTCTTTAGCGACAATGTACGATATTGTCTTATGTTTTCAACCCAAGTATAGGGTGTTGTAGTATTCTTTCCTATTGTTGACATGAAAAAAACGTCTCATTTTAGATTTGATTCTCTTTCGTGTACTGCAATCTCTCTCTTACTGACTGGAATATGCGGAGTTTGCTTTAAATCAAAATGTATAGGAACCGACACCATCTTCAAACTGCATCGAATGAAACATGACTGTGACATATTTTCTTCTTTTTTTATTTTTACCAAAGAACAGTTTTTACTCTAGAAATCCACAGAAATCTTATATATTAATTGTCCGAACCCCAAGAGTCAACTGATATTGTGCTCCTTTATATTTCATTTTCACAGAATTTAGTCCTTTGTCTGCCTGGGTCAGACTTGACTTGCAGGAGTTTCAACACATTAGTCAACTCCACAATTCGAATCGAGTTTTCAAAGAATAGGATCTAATGTCAGAATTTGTCTTGAAATTGCTTAATCCATTAAGTTCACGTATTATTTTAACTCAACCAAGACCCACAGCCTTCGTTAAGTTTTACATCTTGTGGTTGGATTGTACTTGCTGTGTGGCATGGCGAATGGTTCTGGGGTTTTTTGTTTTTTTTTTGCAAAATTTTGGGCCCATTCATAATGGAAAAATAAGACAATAAAGAATTTGAAACGGTGACAATAGTTTTAAAATTACAAATTTGTTCTTCTTGTTATTTTTTTTTTTCCAGTATGATTTTATTTGTGTTGGTTAATTGTGTTAATTGATGTTTTAAGATTATAAAAATATTTCAACAAAAAAACTTTTGTCTCAGTTTATATAGCCTTGAGAAATCCTTGAATTAAAAGAAGCGACGTTTTCATACGAGAGGAGTTGATTTTCAGGTATTTCATACGTGTGTTAATTTTCAAACAATTTTTGACATCATGAATATTTGGTTCATAAAACGAGGATTACCTGTTAAAATGAATCACGGTAAAAGCAATGGTATCGGTTGTATTAGAGATACGATGCACTCGTTTGTTTTTTAACCGTTTTATACAGTATGAAAAAAAAATGGTATATCATATTTATGTGTTAAAGGGGTGACGTCATAAAACACTTAGTTTAGTGGAATTGCAGGAACCACAGACGTCTGATTTTAAAATTGGAATGGTGAAAATTTATGCTATCAGTCTCCCCGATACGCAAATTTTTTTTTTACAAAAACCTCTTTACAATCCCTTTAATGTAGGACAGCATTGCATTGCCGTCATTTAGATACATGTAATTAAATTCAAACCACATCAGTCATGCATTTAATTAAAAATCAAAATACGTAATGAAGCGAACTATATTACTGTGTAACACACATTACACAAAGTGGGTCATACGTCATATGATTCTTAAGCACAGCCATTTTGAATTTTTTCTTCGATTTAATAAGTCGAATTTATAATAGTCGGTTATAATATTTCAACTTAGTTTTCAAATCACATTGAAAGGTTTAGAAATTGTTGAAACATTGTAGCCTTTTTAAAAATTCGAATTATTTAGTCGAAGAAGTGATTCTAAATGGTTGTGAACTAAGTTCGTGTGTTTTATTTCGACGTAAGAACCATACACAAATTCGTGTATATATATATGTATATTACCAAATGCAACAGTATTACCTTTTTTGCTTATATAATTGTTAATTTATGTATATATCGCGTGGCATCGTCGTTACGGCAATATGCAATAGTTTTGAGCGAGATTAAGAGACAAAGATCACGTTGATGTGAAATCTTGGCTCTTTTGTTGATGATTTGACATTCTACGTACTTACATCCTTTTTTGGATTCGCGTTCTTATAACTTTGCGATGAAGCGTACACTGAAGATCGTTCTACGGCACACAGGCATCCAATGATATTAAATGTTCGACGATTGCAAATAAACGATAGGAAAATAAAGAAACCTTGAAGACCATTGAAGATGATGAAAACGTACCAAAGGATTTCATTATGAACAATAGCTCCAACAATGCCGAAGATCCAAGTGAGTCCCATAATGAATGAAAGTTTTGTATAGATCAAGCATCGTTGCCTGTGTGGGCGGTGATTTTCCAAGTTGGTTACAGTTGATGATATGCTACTTCGTTCAATTCCACACAATGTTATTATGAAGCTGACGATGTTGACCAATAATGAGATGCAGACCGGAACATAAAAAGCAACAATTATTCCAATGCTATTGAACATCCATGTACAAACACCTTTTCCGTAACCAACCCTCCAACTATCATTTGTATTTCCAAAATCCAATCCAGTGCAAATTGCTACAATAGTTGAGGGAGCTAAGAAAGAGATACAAAGTAATCTTTTATATCGAGCTTCTTGTTCAGTTTCATCTAATAGTTTCGTCTTGTGAAAGGTTAATGCCATATTAACAGCTATGGCGGTCATTGTGCTAAAAGCTGAAAGCCAGGCAAAATGGCATACAGCTGCAAGAATTTGACATAGGTTTTCTAATTCAGAGTCCACTTGTAAAATTCCCTGGCCCAAAAGCAACCAAAAACACAAAGACGCATTAAGCTTTCCTCCCAAAGTCCGCATCTCTTTATAACGGATATAAATGAACAGCGATAAGCTCAAGCAAAGTGTGGAGATACATGTAATTATTAAAGATAAGAGTTGCTGATTATAGTTATAATCAAAGAAGTTTAGTTTAAATCCATCATAAAATGAACAAACGTGCGCATCATCTCCAATCAAGACAAACTGATCTTTTGGTATCATTTTCCCAACCTTTGTAATTTCAATTGAAGCATTCCTGTGTATGTATTCTCCGGCCTTATACGTCACGATAGGACAAGTAAGGTTATGCTTGGACTTTTTCGTTACACAAACATATATTTCATCCACCAATTCCGTAGAGAGATACTTACTCACACTGATTTTAAATCCGATACTATGGAAATAATATAACACTTTCTGTTGTTCTTTTTCCACAATAGCATACCTTTGATACCCTAGTATTTCCGTAGGGACGTTAGTGTACCTCTGTAGGTTACCGTTCGGACAGATATCAGCATCAAGAAGAGAATCAGTGTTTGATAAAGTGATTCTCGAAAAGCATTTATCTTGAGCCAATGAAGAAATTAGTAAATCAAGGTTGTCATCTAATGTTGTTAACAAAATTTCTGCCACCACATTAAAGGTCTTGAAGGTGCTTGTGGTACGTGGAAGGCTGAACCTGCACAGCAACGGTGTGTTTGGATCAGTCAACTCTTCTGTTATGTTTACCAAAGTCATGCCCTCGTGCCCAAGAAAATTCTTTGCTAGGTTTGCGAACACAAAATGATACGAAAACTTTATCTTAGTTGATTGGTTTAGAAAAGGAAATGGTTGGTCTTGAGCGTCGATGAAGATGGTTTGATTTCGGTAACATCGGCCAAGATGTGCGTAATGATCTTGAGGACAAACGACCTCCCTACAAATCATGAAATATGGGTCGTAGATTTGAGAACTTATACATAAGTTAAATGAAATCGAATCTCTTATTCGAACAGAGTTGCGTCTAAAATCAAAAAGAACTCTAATGTTACCTCCAAATATGAAATTTGCATCAACGTCTAAGCATTCAAATGTCGTAGAGGCTGAAGCATTGGTCAGTTCTGTCTTAGCACAATCAATGTTCTTGTATATGACACCCTTCAACACGATGGGACGAATATAGTGTTCACACAATGAATTAGAATCTGGTTTGAACAAATCTGTGCGATTCCACACCGGGAAACACATTAATTGCTCTATTCGTTTGATACCAGGGTACGTCTTGGTGCATCTATCCGTTATAGTTTTTACATCTCCTGTATATTCCTTATCACAAAGAAAATCAAATTCCCACACAATCAGGTCCGAAATATTGAAGCCATGACATAAAGCACAATGCACATTAGCAAAATTCAGCAGCGAGCCTGATTCGTGTCGTAAGGGAGGCATTTGAGTTGACAGATCATGACATGAATCCTTCAGTTCTTGAGGTGTGTCTTCGGGACACCTCCCAATGACATTGGTATAACCTGGACCGTGGTAGTAGTTGCATGTACCAAAAGATCTCAATAAGCCTAACATAGTTTTGTCTATCTCCCGAGGCAAATAATCTGTTATGCTTGGCTCTGGAATACCCTTACAATTGGTTAGAAAATCTACACAACAATTGTTCCATTCTAAACAGATTTCCGTACAACTACAACGTTTCCCATTCGCCTGAATATTAGTCCAACAAGACCCTTCACATGAAAACTTCAAGCACGATGTTTTGTTCGCGTGAGTCTGTGGAATACCTGCGTATTCTTTTTTGCGTATAAGTGGGAATGGAAAGTTAGCTGATATTAATGTTGCCAAACAAAGAATAACTGAAAATATAAATTACAGAATTATAATCAAATGAAATAAAGAATGAAAAACGTGAGATTCAGTACACGTATACATACACATCTTGACGACCAAGGATAATCGAACTTTCTTTAATTGATTTTGCTCTATCTGATATTCTTTGAATTGAGCAAAAGTGATTCGGTTTCGTTTCTAAAACTGATTATTTCGAAATAAACGGAACCACATTGCCTCTGTGTATGTTTGGTAGTATCCTGAAAGAAGCCAACACGTAACTACGGCGATAAATATATTTATAACATACCTGCTATGTTTCGCTGAAACATGATTCTCGCAAACATTCATTCGATAAACACTACCAGAAATATAAACTGAGTGAGCGCTACATCGAGTTAAATAGGATGACACACAAACATAATCCGAAGCAACCAGTCACAACTTTTTAATTACCAGAGTAACCGAAGTAACCATTAACTTACTGTCAGAGTAGTAACCATTAATTGTCAAAGCACTAACAAATAACTATCAGAGTAGTAACAAATAACTCTCAGATTAGTAACAAATAACTATCAGAGTAGTAACCTTTAACTATCAGAGTAGTAACCTTAAACTACCAATAGAAGCCGGAGCAGTAACGATAACTATCAGTTCGTCTAAAAGTCGGACTATTCTGGATAAAACTTGTTGAATTAATTGTATACTATCGTTTTAAATAATGCTAGCTTTCAAGTCATTATGTGGTAAATTACAAAATAACTAAGGGACATTATTGTAAATAGATTGTTTTTATTCTCAGATTGAAATATAGTCGACTAATGGGTCAGCATTAATGCCTTATATTGTTTTGTAATAATGTAACAACCTTTATTGTATGTAAAAAAAATGTTTGCATTTTATATACAGTCTCAAAAGGGATTCCCTATGTTGGATATAAACAGTAAACGTATAAAGTATATTGATTGGAAACAATGAAATCTCCTACTTCGATGGAAATTTCCGAACAATATAATTTAATGAGCTAACATAAAGTTGAATGCGATGCGTGTACAAATATGCCGATTTAAATACAGGTTGATCTAAGGCTTTTCTGACTCTTACTCTTATCCCTAAATCTATTACCATCAGTAGATTATAATTGTGCAAAGGTCTAGTTAATAAGCGCCACAATTAACTACCGTTACTGCAGAGTATCTTACAGGCGCTTTTAGGTGCTGGGAAATGTTCATGACATTTTATCGATCTACGCTTTTTAGATCTCTGACTGTAGATGGATCTTAAGCACAGTCTGTAACACATGTGGCTCGTTTTTCTGTCCCATCCGCAAGACGCCTTTTCCATATCACAAGCTCATCTTCTCTCTGAAAATTGGGTATCCGAAAATTGTCTTGTTGATATAGCTCGGACAACTTGACATCTTCCGTCGCAGCTTATTGTGATATTTACCGTTCTACAAAATAAGGAGCGCCTTAAACAAAGCGAGTCATATTTTTAACTCTGAAACACGGATAATTATGGATACTCATGGCTGAGACGGTGAAAATTTCTAGAGTAAGCTGTGAAGACTATAAAACCGAGTACCTTAGCTGCACAATCCCCTTTTCAAACCACGCCTTTTTAACTTGTTATCTGAATGCTTTCGAATCTTTGCGTGTGGCATTTGATTTTAGTTTTGGTCAATAGTAAAGTCTGACGGTTTAAATATTGCAATACTGCTGTCCGTACTTTTATATTCCAAAAGAGTTATCTCCCTTCTATACATTCGAAACGCATGTAATGCAAGCTGACAGATTGTGTGACACGATAGTAGTAGGCAGCCATCGACTGAACCACCATATGAGCTGATGGTCTTCATACTGTAGAATATTCTCGTTGACAATATCTCTCTTCTGTTCACTAACTTTGAATCATCAGCTTGAAGTTCAAATTTGGAAAGTCAGCTCCCATGATCAATTAAGCTCTCCTGATGAGGGATGCTTATCCGAAAAAAAACGTGTCGGATATACTTTAAAGTGGCAGTTAAAATGTATTAAAATTTCGTCCTTTATAAAAACGTCGTAAATAATAGTTCACGATATTTGACGAGAACCTCTCAAGAACCTAACATCAATTCTTCCCCAATTCTTAAAGGGACATTCTGCTTTTTTAAAAAAAAATTTCTATGCTATAGGCTATTTATATCTACTTGATCAAACTTAATTTGTTTAAAAGGGTTAATTAAGAAATAATTGTACTAACTAATTAAGTAAGCAACTTAACGAACTTCAAAAGTTAACGTAAATCTTTTAAATAGCTTTGGTGTTTTAAAATTTCAGAATTCTTTTAGTAAAAACCTTCTAATAAGCTAAGGGACTTGATTTTTGTATTAAGTTTTCATAAATTTCATTCGCCAATTCTCGGCAGTTTCCGTTAGCTGAATCTGACTCGGTAATGAACGGTGAATTTCGTTGTGTCTTCATATGCGAGACTCTTTACTTCCGGTATTTAGCAGTGATTTGTCAAGTGATCCTAAATATAGTCCTTAAATTAAGACTTTGGGAGATAATTCTGACAAATTACTCGAATTAATGGCAACTATCAAACAAATTTTGGAGAATTGTGCTCCTTATCTGAAATTATTATTTAAATATTTTGCAGTAAGAACGCCTAAACAATTTAAAGGGTTAACCCTTTAAAGTCCTATGTATCTACTTAATCATCCTTATTTGTTTTAAACGGGTTTACAAGACAGGGTGTGTTAATTGTTAAAAGAAAAACAGTTGAGACTATTTTTAATTTTTGCATTTATAGTTCTATAGTTTTAGTTGAATCATTTAGGATTAGTAGACGACATATTTCTAAACGATTGGCGTTTGTTTTCCTTTAAACACATAGCATATTTTAGAAAT